TCAGCAGCCCGCGGGGGCGCATTGCCTTCTGCCCGCCCACATCCCCTTCCTGCAGCCCCGGCCGGAGCATCATCATCACCAGCAGCATCAGCACCAGCAGCAGCAACACCACCACCACCACCACCACCCGTATGGGCCCGGCGCTGAGAAGCACAAGGAGAACATCTCCGGTAAGCGAGAGATCCGTCCCGTCCGGGTTCCCTCCGGGACGCCGCCAGGCTCTTTCCGAGCGCGAGAATTCTCGTGGCCTCCGAAGGTTGATCCATCGCCCGCAGGCCGCGTGTTCGCCTCAGGCAGGGGTACGTGGGGAGGGAGCAAGTGCACGTGCATGAGCGGCAGGGAGAAGCCCCTTTATTTGCACGACAGCGCCGGGAAGGAATGCCCCTGCACAGGACGCTGTTGTCCAAGTAAAGGCATTTATTTCCCCCTTCCGCTAGAAACGATTTGGTAGGTCTCTAGGAGGTTCCTTGTGAAATCGACCAAAGAATTCCGATTCCCCGCAAAAAGAACTTTTCTAAGCTCGGTACACGCTTCTCGGAGAGTCCGGGTTTTTTTCTAAAGCCCTCCCTCCACACAGTAGAAGTTTGGTTTGACGGAAATCGTTCCGCTCTTCGGAGCGCCGCGCAGTTTAACTCCCGAATCCCACCCACAGTGCGACGATCTGTATCTACTCTAGATCCAACTCCCCCACTTTTTCCCCCTCACGGTGGGAGACTCACGACATCAGTCATAAAAGGAAACCTGTCTTACACTGACTGCATCCCCGACTGCGATCTGCATCCTTCACCTCATTGACTTCTGCAGACGTCAGAAGTCAACGAGGTTCTTGCGTGGGTTCTGCCCGTTGTCTCGGGAGGAGCCGCGCCTTTGCGGCAGGCAAACTCTCCCTCGGCGGTGCAGAAACGGGTGATTTGGTTGTAACTTCAATCCCAGTCCTCAGCTGCTTGTTGATAATTTTGGGCTTTTTGGTTGCGGGGTTCAGCACTTTAGCAACTGCATTGCTGAGCTTTGAAAAGTTACTCTTGTGGACTTTTAACACTTGACAATCTTGCCTGATATATTCTGGGAGTTGTAGTCCAAAAAAGTAACTTTCCCCACATATCTGGAGGTGTTACAGCAATAAAAAGGGTGTGTGCATGCAGAGGTGTGTATGTGCAGAGGGGAGTAGTCCAAAAAAGTAACTTTCCCCACATAGCTGGAGGTGTTACAGCAATAAAACGTGTGTGTGTGTGTGTGTATGTGTGTGTATGCAGAGGCGGTATGTGCAAAGGGGAAATACAATGACCTATCCCTTCCCAGACTTCGGCTAAAGTTAAAATGAGTTTCTAGTACAGTATTAGGTATCTGAAACAATAAAGTTGTGAGAGCATCTCTGAACATATGCAATGTGTCTTTCCTTTGCTACTCAATAATGACAACCAATCCTCACCTTGCTAGAATAACCTAAGCCCCACAGAATTCAGCTGGATTTACTTTCAGATAAATACATTCTATCCCATCCCAAGTTTCCCAAAAGGAGTTGACTTCTAAGTAAGCTTAGCCTCAACATGTGTGCGTTTTAAAGAAATTAACCATTGAATCTCCCAAGCTCTGCTATGCATCCCTAATTCAGTTTGCTGTATCTCGTATGTAAACCAAGATGGTCAGGGGTCCTACTAGGAGTGGCTGCCATTCCATTGGCTACATCCTTTGGTCCCAACCTTAGAGATGTGGGGAGGTTAGTTGCAGCTGGAGAAAATGTTTGTTCAGTTGTCTTTCTCTGCTTGACAACATATTATATGGAACATATTTTAATTCTTTCTAAATATCTGGGGTATAAAAGGACCCTCAGATTCTATAGCAGTGACTGTCACATATTAAAATTATTACTGTTGACAGCCTTTGTCATGGCATCTTTGAGACATATCATACTAAAAGCATCAAGAAAGACTGCACTTCCAAACTGTTCCTATGAAATGTATTTCTGAAAACTGGGAAGTAAGCTATCATCTCCTATGTGATATCAGCAACATGCTGGCTAGTGTTGCACTAATAATGCAAACAGAGATGTTGAGGGGACTCAGGAGGGAGCCAGAGAAAATAACTGAACACACCTTCCAGGGCCACAGCTCAATAGGAGTATTCCCTTTGCATGCAAAAGATCATTGCTTCAATCCGTGTTGTCTCCAGAATGGGCTGTCACATAAAGTAGACTCACCTTCTCTAACCAGGTACCTTCCAGATGTGTTAGATTACAACCCCAGAATCTCCATTCAGAAGTTTTGCTCCCCTAGCCAACAGCTGTGCTGATTGGGGACGATGGGCTTTGTAATCCATATATCTAGAAGGCATTGGGCTGAAGAAGACTGAGGAAGGTTGGTCTTTCCTGGTTTTTATCCTCCGGTGAAGGAAGGTCCCTCTAAGTTTGATAAGATCCATTAGTGGGCTTTGTTGTGGAAATCACAAATGTGAACACTGCATCTGTGTACAGTATCCCTATAAAAATGAAGTTTGGTGCATGTGTGCTGTGGGAAGCCTCATCCTCCAGAGAAGAGATGAGATGAATATCTGCAGAGCATTTTTGTACAGTATACTGTTGTGTGTGAGTACTTTAATCTTAACAGGACTTTATTCGTTTTTGTACAGTATACTGTTGTGTGTGAGTGAGTACTTTAATCTTAACTGGACTTTATTCAGCAGGAGATGTACAGTATCTGTGTCTTTCACTTCTGTAAAATGATGGCCAAATATTCTTGCCAAATGCTAATCTATAGGGACACTGAGGTGTTTGACAATCATCTGCCTACAATGAAAAACAGCCCTCAGATAATCTCCATTCCCCACTATTTTATATCTTTGTATGTTATTAATACATCAGAACAGAAAACAAAGGTAATCTTTGCTGGGCTTTGAAGATGCTCTGTACAGCACCAGCTGAGTTTACTCTGACTGCTCCTGTCCCCCTTCCTCTTGGCCCATTCAGCAGACAAATTGGGTTGCCTCTAATTCTGCTCTCGCTGTAGCCTTGCAGAAAGCTGCCCATCTGTTCTAGCTGCTCTTCTGGTGCTGAAAACCCCGTGTTTGTGCCAACACTCCCCACCCATTTTCTTTTGCCTGGCAGTGGAGATGGATAGACCTGACCTATATTCCTAATGACTGGGGAGAGTAATTTTAATCAACTCTGGCCATGTGCCAATCCTGCTTGCTGTTGGGGATGGCAATCGTCTACCCACTGCTCCTTGGCTCTTGGAATGGCATGGGCTGGCTGAGATATTGTCTATGTTATTGATGGCATAGGGATACAAATGGGCTACCTGTTCTGCTTGCATGTAAACCCTCATTAGAAACATACCAAAAGTGGATTATACTGAAGATGCTCTACTCATTAGGACAGGCATACGCAGAAAAGACAGCATTAGCTGTTTTTGGTACTTCAACCTTCAGAATATCCTAGCCAGCATAGCCAAATCTTTCCTCACTCTCTGGATGACTTAATGTAAATTAGCAAAGAATTCAGACTCCCTCCCCAGGCTATCTAGCAGTGACTGCAAGAAGAAAACTCTCTGCTCCTAAATTAGGCTGTGGAAATTAGGAAAGCTTGGAGTAGGTTTTTGTGCTGAGGAAGCAAAGTGTGATGAACATTCAGTTCTGGCACTTAAAACAATTTCTGGGTTCAGGATTCTTGAATTTTTGGTATTTGTCTTTTGCACCCAATAGACTGCAGAGTTCTAGCCCCAAAACAACATAAACTGTGAAAGCCTGAAGTCTTCTTATCCCTGTGTTAGAAGAGGAGGGCTCACCACTTACCTGTATGAGTAAAGTCTTCTTTCTTTCCCATTTGGTTCTTGGAAACGCTTGCTCTGAACTATTTTGTTTTATTCAAAATGACTTCTAATCTTGTTCACCCTTTTCTTAAATGTTTCTTCAGGTAGATATGTTGAAAAGCCTGTTAATCTAAACAGTGGACACAGAAATGTGTGTGTGTGTAACAAAAATAAATAAAAATAATGTCAATGTTTATGCTGAAACATTGAGATTTAATTCATACCATTTTTCTATTTTTCCTCACATTCAAAACCTTAAAAAGATGAAGACAGTTTGTCTGGTGAAAAGAGCAACTTGAAGACCACTGACACTCAAATCAAGAGAAAGAAACGGCGGCACAGGTACAAAATGCAAATAATATTGGCCATGTAGGAGTCATCCTAATATCAGCTTATTCCACATACTAAGCATTAACCTTAAATGAATCTGTCTGACATTGTTACATTCTGTCTCATACACACACACACACACACAGAGAGAGAGACACACAGAGAGAGAGAGAGAGAGAGAGAGAGAGAGAGAGAGAGATCTGTATTTTAAAAAACCCTAATCAATAGATGTCTGAAAAAGAAATTGCCACTTCATGATAATCCTTATATAGCTATGGTGGCTGAAGGATTTGACAAAGTTCTGGGTTTGGAGACTATCCAGAAGCCATCCCATTTATTCTGGAAGTCCAAAGGAAGGAAAGGACAACCTGTACTTTATCCCCACCCCACCCTTGTTGCTGTTGTTTGATTCCAACTTCTATCAGTCCCAAATTTTTGAACACTGTGGCTAAGACCGATTAGTACCACAAATCTGGCAGGCACCAGATCTAGGAAATTTTGTTTAAAATATACAAAATGCAGTCATTCATAACAGCGAAATACATACATAGCATTATGTGCTGTCAAGTTGCATCAAACGTATGACAACCCTAATAGGGCTTTCAAAGTATCTAAGAGGTTGAGAGAATGATTTTACAAGCACCACTCTCCCAGTGCATTTCCATAGCTGAGAAGGGAGATGAACCCAGGTCTCCTAGGTGCCAGCCTGACACTCTACCCATTATACCACACTTGCTCTCAATACATATATCTTGTTGTTGTTATGTTCCATTAAGCCTCCTCTGACTTATTGTAACACTATGAATGAACAATCTCCATAAAATGTCCTCAGCAGCTCTGCTCAGCTTTTGCGAACTCAAGCCTGTGGGTTTCTTTAGGGAATCAGTCCATCTCGTATTTGATCTTCCTCTTTTCCTGTTGCCTTCCACCTTTCCCAGTGTTACTATCTTTTCCAGAGAATCCGGCCTTCTCATTATAGGCCCAAAGTAGGACAGCCTCAGTTTTAACATTTCTGCCCCCAGAGATAGTTCAGGTTTGAACAGATCTAGGACCCACTTGTTTGCCTTTCCGGCAGTTCAAAGCATCTGCAAAGTTCTCCACCACCAGCACATTTCAAACAAATACTCCCCCCCCCCGTCAGCTGTCTTTACTGTCCAGTTTTCACATCCATGCATAGTGATTGAAAATACAAGAGTGTGGATGATCTTAGTCTTGATCTTCAGTGACATATCCTTATATTTTATTATCTTTTCTCATTCCTTCATTGCTGCCGTTCCAAGTCTCAGCCTTCATAGTCCACTACATAAAAACATAACCAAGATATGAATCATCAGTGTATCCAGAAACTCAGGAATTGCCAAAGCAGTTCAGGTTTTTCTCTCATAAACAATTTCCCTTCAAACAGGTGTTTTTTTTTAATAGAGCAATTTCCAGGGATGTTGACAAGTCTCTGGGTCTGAGTCCCAAGTCTCAGTCTTTGGTACCAAGTCCCAAGTCCATGTCCCTGTTAAAAATAAGCTTTTTTTTCCACGGAAAAAAGGGATGGGTGGATGGTTTTCAAGCCATGAGTCCGAGTTACTGGAAAAAGCCCCAAGTCAACAGTGCAACTTAAGTCCAACTTGACAGCGAGTTTTGAGACTTGAGTCCCCATCCCTGGCAATTTCTTTATTATATTGCCCCATTTTGGGAGCCTCAACAAGTATAGAGGCCACCTTATCCTTTCCTTTAACTCTTCAGGCTGAAAAAATTAAATTCTAGCACATGGAAGCACAAGTAGACATCCCCGCTCCTTTTTCTTCTTTTTAAAATATTCTCTTTGTATTGAAATATATCTGAGTGTATGTACTGTATATACCTATGTGTAACAGTGCATCATGAACATTTATCAAAAGATGAACAACATACTATTATTTAGAGTTTATATTGTAATTACATTTTAATTGTTTTGATTTTTTTATTGTATTTTAAATGTTGTAAGCCGCCCAGAGACCTTTGGGTAGTGTGGGTGGCATATAAATAAATAAATAAATAAATAAATAAATAAATAAATAAATAAATAAAT